GCAGGTTGGTCACTCGCCTAAACTTCAAAGTGTGTACTTGAAGTTTTAGGGAAGCGTGGGGTGGTGGCGACACTGACAGGTCCGAGGGAGGTGCGGTCGCGAGAGAGTCGGTCTTCCACGTCTCCAGCCTCCTCAACCTCCAGTCGTCACCCCAAGCGCAGTCGATTAGGTCGGTAACATCTCATTGAAGAATTCATGCTGGTAAGATTTTCGCTGTATCTTGCAGCACTCTTGTTTTTCGTATTGAACCAACACGTGGGAGTGCGATGTCGCTCGCGAAACCAGTTATTCTTGTTCCGTCCCGTTTCTGTCTATGAACCCAAAGCACGTAAAAGGATGCCTCCACTCTATTACGAGTGCCCCTCTGCATCTACCTTTGCCACAAGCTGTAGAGATCATTCACCGATGCCCGGCCATCGCTGAGTTTTGGGGGATAGGCAAACCACCAATGATGAAGAAACTTGTATTAACTCCTTATGGTCTGCCTCTAGGCGACGACACTACTTGGTTCAGGTTAGTGGACTTCGTGAGTGCGGATTGAATCCTCATCGGGCGATCACAGCAAACCCTAGACTCGTGCTTACCGCGTCGCATGATGAGAAGGGTATACTCAATGGTCAGCAGTGATAACAGCAATACGAGCGGATGTGATGGCTTTGTTTTAGAGCTGCCCTCGAGAGCATCGCTTTTACGACGGATGGGTGTTAGTGAATCTGACGTGCCCTACTACCTTACAGTCGACAACCTACCGGACGCGGAGACCGTCGAGAAGGAGTGTGGTGAAGCGGTGAGGGCTGTGAGTCAAGATTATCAGAAAGCCCCTTTCTAAGGTCACGACAGAGATCGTCGAAACTGTGACGGAGATGGCGGATCTTTCGAATTTCGAGTTCCGGAAAGCACTCCGCCATCGCCCTTCTGAAACCAAGGTCGACGAGGTTGTGCAGAAGAAGAAATCTCTTGTACGTTCTGATCGGGCCTTCTGTGATGTGTGTCGCGAATGGCCTCGTGTCCATAGGTTGAGCGAGATGCTGGTGACAGCGCCTGTGCGAACGAGCGAGAAGTTAAAAGAAGTGATGGATGCGAGAAGTGAACTAGGGATCTCTACTGCTGCTACGTGAGTGCTTCTTTAGAGTCATCCCGAGCCCTCAAGAGCCTGCAATGTCGAAGGAAAAGCTGTCTAGGTTTACAGTTAAACTCAAGACGCTTAAGAAGGCATTGCGACTCATTGCGACTGAACAGAATGTGATGACTGCACCCGAACTTGCAGATCTCTGGTGCAAGGAGCATGCGGATAGAAATGTTCTACTCAAATGTGATCGTGCGGTTGTTGAGGTCTTCGCCGATGTTGTTTTGAAAAATGGAAAAGAGTTTCAGAGCATGAATTGATTGATATACTGTTTCCGTTACTGTTCTATATCTCTATTGAGTTCATCGTAGTGCATGGACCATAGAGGGAAGCGATGGAACTTTAGACTCGCAAGTAGCATGCAGTAAATTCTGAAGAAGTCAGACTAAAGTCGCTATGAGGCCCGAGTCACAGACGGTTCAGACATGAGTATAATCACAGCACACGATAAAGACTGCCAGTGCCGGTACAAATAAAGTAGTGATATTGATCACTGATTGTGGATGGCTCGTTCGAGAATTCCCTGTCGCTTATAGGGACTCGCTATCCTTGGGTTCTTACTGGATCCTCCGACGCATCGTCAACCTGGATTCAGACTTGATAAGAATCATGTCGAAAATGGGGAGCTGAGCGGAGAGTCTTCGCCAAGGACCCCTGAGCTCACACCACCCGGTGCGAATTCTGTGTGAGTAACGACTATCGAATCTTAGCTTTAGCTTAAAGATAGTTGGTGATTATACTCGTATAATTATATATTGAGTCTCTAGATTCCATTAACCATTGCCTTGACTTTCTTAATAGTTAGCACATGCAGAGCAGCATTACAGTAACATCAGTCTGTTGTTGGTTACGAGAAGTAGGAATATGTATGTGCGTTCTGGGATGTGCCACTTTAGCTTAGTGGTAGAGCGTCTGCTTCGTAAGTAGAAGGTCGTCAGTTCAATCCTGGCAAATGGCTTACAGCAGCATTAGGCTCTAGTCGGGTATATGAAGGTCAATTTATTGGGCTAGGTCAACAAACGAGCGAATGGTTTGTGATGTGGTTGGGGGGTGTTGGATCGATTAATATCCAGTTACCATTTAGTTAATGGGGACTTTCCTGAACCCACCCGCCCGCATCCGGTTTAAGTTGGTTTGGGAGGCATGAGTAGTCAAGCGAGGGTCATAGGCCAGAGGCTCTGGCCCAGAGAGCACCGAATTGACTCTCTGTGGCAGATGAGAGTATCCCATAATCTCGCTGCTACTTATGCGGAGCGAAGCATCCAGCGTTGCAAGTTTCGGAGAATTTTCGACAGAACTTCGAGGTTGAGACTTTCGGATCTCACTAGTTCTGTAGCAACGTATCATGCTTTCGCCCCACTACCCACTACTCCCAACGAACTAAATGAATGGATGTTATTGGACAACAGACATTCGACAATAGTATGGTAGAGTGTTCCGGGTAAACCAGCGAGCGAGTAAAGTTGAATGAAGGTCATTTATTGGGCTAGGGCTCACAACGAGCGAATGGTTTGTGATGTGGT